TGAGCTTATGCATTGTCTAGACTTCAAACCCATGAGCTCTTGTGTGAGGAGGCATGTTAGAGAAATATAAAAATATTATTCACCTAACAGCTTAAATTGTTGGATTGAATTGGCTTTTTACCATATTATATATTGATATGTTACAAATTAATTTGTGACTACAAAAGACAAAGCACTAATCCCTATTTATAATAAATAAGGGGCTCCTAAAATAAGGGAACAAATCATGAAATATAAGAAAATAAGGAAAATTGTCCTAAGCAATTGTTACATCAAAACGCGTTAGAAGTTGGGCCTATGAAGATTCAGCGTTTGGTTAATGATTTTATTTAATTTAAATTGATTTTATTTAGTTTCTATTTCTATAGGATTGACTTTGTTACCAATTTTGTAAGCTGTTATTGATTTGATTATGTTATTTACCTTATACTAATGTTGTTGCCCATTTTATTTTGTTACCAATTCTAAGGAGAACCTTGAATATATAGAGTTCTTTCAGTTAGTTTTACTGAGTCGTATCAATTGATTCGACTTGCCAGATCCGGGAGAAGATGAGTTCCGCCGACTAGACCTCATGCATTAGAGAAATCCTTTGAAACATTCAAGAAAGCGACCAACTAAACCAATCAAAGGATGGGACACGAAACTCAAAAGGGATTGAAAAATTTTGCTCCATGGTGAAAGACTAAATGAAAAAACAAGGGACAGAAGCATAGGATAACAGCACCAATGGAAGAGATCATAGCAAAACAGATTGAACTAATCTTGGGTACACGGAGTAGCATGCATGGATGCCCACGGTTGAACTCCCAATTTTCGATGGGTTTAACCCACTAGGGTGGATAGCTTGAGCAGAAAAGTACTTTGAGATTCATACAATACTGAAGAAGGAGAAGGTGCAACCAGCTTTGGCAAGCATGGAGGGAACCACGATTCAATGGTTCCGTTTCTTGCACAGAAAAAAAAAAACCAGATCTTGCGTGGGGTGATTTAACAAAAGGTTTCATTCAATGATTTGGTGATTGCATCTCGGGGAACATCTATGAACGACTATCTACCCTTCAACAAGAAGACATGGTGGATGAGTATATAGGAGAACTCGAAACCTTGGTAGCCAAGGCTATAGACATGAATGAGGAGCATCTACTCGGGTATTTTTTTGGGAGGCTTGAAACCGGAGATTAGAAAGAAAGTGAAATAATCTGAGAGAAATCATAAAAGCCATGGATCTAGCCAGAGATGTTGAAGATGAATGGAAATCAAAATGAAGTGTAGGAGGGTTTTCAAATCGAGGGATAAGCGGCAATGAAAGAAACTTTGGACTGGGTCACACTGCATGGCGAGTCAGATCTTCCTCAATCGGGAATAATAGCTTGACCAATAATCAGGGAAAAGAGGATGGGCCTAGGCCCAATATGATGACTCGAAGGGTATCTTCGCAAACAACACATTCCTTCCCAAATTCATCATCCTCCGTGAACAAGGGATTTCAAGAAACTCAAAGCATTTGACAATCTCGGGGGTCCCGTTATCTCAACTAAGATGAGCTTGTCCGGTGAAGAGAGACGCCTTCACTGCGGCCTCGTTGTTGCTCCAAGTCACAAGTGCCCAGAGAAGACCTTGAGGCATACAATCTTGGTGAAGGAGAGCTACCGAAGGACAAAGTTGATGGTTGGGTGGCAGACAATGAACCACCTTAAATCCGGCAAACTTAACAATGATGGAAACCTTGGGGAGAAGGTTGTTTCCCCCTCAGAGTTATTGTTACGTCAAAACTGAGAAGTTGGGCCAAAAAATAATCAGAGTTTGGTCAATGATTTTATTCAATTTAAATTGATTTTATTTAGTTTCCATTTTTATAGGTTTGACTTTATTGCAAATTTTTTAGGTCGTTATTGATTTGATTATGTCATTTACTTTATATTAATGTTGTTGCCCATTTTATTTTGTTACCAATTCTATAGGAGGGGAACCATGAATATATAAGGGGGTTCCGGTCCATGGAGGGCAGGCAAGAATTGTTATTTGAATTTGAGAGAAAGGGAGTGCCATTTGTTAAAATAGTTTTCTCTTGTACTGATACATTGGTTTCTCTATATTAATATATTTGGGGTGGTTGACCTTGAACTTTCAATTTGTTTTTTAGAGTCGTATCAATTGATTTAAATTGGTTTTATTTAGTTTCTATTTATGTAGGCTTGACTTTATTACCAATTTTATAGTCTGCTATTGATTTGATTATGTCATTTACTTTATATTAATGTTGTTGCCCATTTTGTTTTGTTACCAATTCTATAGGAGGGGAACCTTGAGGGTTTGAGGGTGAGTTGAGATCTTGGTTTATCTTGTCTGCATTGTCAATTAATTATTGTTAGTTGTCCTGTTGTTGAAGTCTGTAATTAGCATAAGAGTCAGTATCTCTATTTCATATTCTGCCAAGGTTATGTTACCAGCATGTATGTCCAAAGTATTATTGAGTAATAGAGGTGTTTTTCTTGTTCATTTGTTGTTTAGTTGTTGTTGAATATATGGGTTCCATCAATTTGGTATCAAAGCTTCAGATCCTTGGAAATGAAGATGGAATTAAAGCTTGGGGATGGTTGCTCGGGCTTGAACAATATTTTTAAACACATCAAATTCAAGAAGATGATATGCTAAATGAAGCTGTGAAAGGGTTGAGAGGTCGTGCGCTCAACTGGTACAAACTTTGGAGTGGGCTCAGTCCCTATGTAAGCTGGCGGAGCTTTGATAAAGCATATATAGGGAGATATATACCTAAGATCTATTTGGCAGAGAAGGATGAAATATCGAACAACCCAGAAAAAAATGTAGGAAAAAGGAAAAAAAAAAAAAAAGATTGAAGTAGAGACAGAAGAAGAAGCAAATCGAAGCACGGAAGATGATACTGTAGAAGAAAAAAAAAAGTGCAGAGGAAGAAGATGCAGAAGTAGATGCAGTAGAAACAGAAACAAAAATCAGCAAACAACAAGAAGACAAAATCGAAGTGAAAATGGTAGTAGAAAAAGAAGAAAAAGTTGAAGAAATCGATGAAACAAAAAAAGAAAAAGCAGAAATAATTGAAGAAGGAGAAAGAGATTGAAACATAAAAGAAGAGGCAGAGAACAAGGTGCAGAAGAAGACGGAGCTCGCTAAAGATGACGAAGAAGGAGCAAAAAAGGATGACAATGGAGAAGCAGCCGAAGAAGAAGACAGAGATCAGCAATGTAAACAGGGCGAAATGAAGGAGATTCTACTGCAGTCGATGATAGTAAGCCAACAAGAGACGGATGGAAGTTTGAAAGAGATGGAGTGGGTAGAAACAGGAGATGAAGACGAAATGATCGTGGGTAAGCAGAGTGGACATGGAGGCCTAAGCGGGTCAGGATATGGTATTGGAAATCATTTGCGCGTTGCACTAACAACCCAAAATACCAATAGTAACGGAGAAAATGTGGGAGGCAATGGATCAGAAGCTCAAAAAGGGCCCAATAATTCGTTTCAGAAAGGGGTTAATAGTAATGGGGCCAATAATAGATGGAATGGGCTCAATGAATCACAGAGCAAGCCCAACGATTCACTTAGAAACCCAGAACCAGCATTAACAGAAACTAATAAGGAGCAAGAATCAACACAGGAGTCTTCGTCGGGGGCTTCGTACGGCAGCGATAAGAGGGGTACCAAGTTCCTATGGTTGTCATCAGCAGAAATGATTGTCCGCCGGCGACGGAATTTATGCTTCTGGTGCGACACACCTTTCTCGCCAGACCAAGCCTGTAACAGCCCGAACCTCCACGTGATGTTGGTGGGAGTTGGTGGGTCAGAGGTCAAAGGGGAAGAGGAAAGGGTCGGCAGCACCAACTCAGAAACCATTGACGCACTTCTTCTGAGCATACACAACATCGCGAGTCTGATGTCGAGCAAGTCGTTGCAGCTTTGGGAGCAGGATTCCAGCAACTTATGCTAGAGGAGAAGGAAGAAAAACGAGATGAAGATGGAGCATTGAAGGAAGAGGCAGTCTTGCACGAAGAGGAGGAAACATATTATGTGGCTCAAGAATGGAAGCTTCTGGTGGTCAAGACAGAAACATATTTTGTGGAAGTACAAGATGGATATAGGGTCGACAATGAAAGGATATGTAGGGGTGTGGTACTGTCATTACCAGAATTGTCAATCACTCAAGATTTTTGGTCAACATGCTTCAAGCAATGGCATCCAGATGGATGTTTTCTCGCATCACTTATCCTTTTTCTTCACCTTGAGGACAAGGTGAGTTTTGGAGGGGGAGTAATGATGAGCCTGAGATAATTAGTGAGTTAGTTAGGGAGTTATTCTAGAATATTCTCAAATAATAGTATATAAGGAAGGGAGTGTGGGAATGTGAGGTATGCATGTATTCACTGAAATGGGAATTGGGAATTGGGAAAAGGATCTCTAGAGATCTCTTAAGGCCTAGCTCTTTGGGTTTGAGGGTGAGTTGAGATCTTGGTTTATCTTGTCTACATTGTCAATTAATTATTGTTAGTTGTCTTGTTGTTGGAGTCTGTAATTAGCATAAGAGTCAGTGTCTCTATTTCTTTTTCTGCGAAGGTTATGTTACCAGCATGTATCTCCAAAGTATTATTGAGTAATAGAGGTGTTTTTCTTGTTCATTTGCCGTTGAATATATGGGTTCCATCACCGCCCTTGTTCTTTCAATTTGTTTTACAAGGTCGTATCAGAGATCCTTCAGGATACTCTAAACTATATTAAGGTATAATCTTAATATTATACAATATCTTTTAGATATTCTATATATTTTCTAAATATTCTGACAAAATCACTCCCCATTATACCTCGACTAGTGAGGATGGGACGAGAACAATCCTTGTATATCTTACCCTTGCATATTTGCAAAGAGGTTATTTCACGAATTCAAACCTGTATCTAAGAACAAATACTCTAAATTTAAGAGGGGAGATTTACAATAAAAGAAAAAAAAATTAAACATACAAACAACTTACCAGCTTCTTTTCCTGCAGCTGACCAAGAAATCCATGTGGGTTCATTGCCCGAAAAACTAGGAAATCTGCCTTTCCTACATATTGCCTAATGTCACAGTATTATAAAATTAGCATAGCTACAGAAAAAAAAAAAAGTTAAGACCAAATTAATACACCTAAAGACGACAATATATATATATAGGATAAAAGTTGAAATAATGACTTACTTGTTATTCATGTGGTCCTGAGATATAAGCCGAACTATTTGCATTACGGGGGGCCAGTTTGCGGCAAGTCTGATATCAACAAAAGTATAGTAAATCTAGAAAATTAAAGGAATTTAAAAGAGAAATAAAGCATCGTATGATGACTTAGACAGATAAGGAAGTCAAAATTAGACAAACCCAATATTGATTCAGCCAATACTGTGAAATTGGAGAGAGCAACGCCTCTATAGTGAAATTTATATGTTAATCTCGAAGTTAATTCAAAAAGTGATTGATAAAACTGAAAATTTATTACTAAAATAATAATGAAGATGAATTTCAGTTCTGAATTTGTAATGTTTGAAAATATACTTTTAAAGTGCTGAATGTGCATTAAATACAAGTGTCATTTGATTTGAAGAAATAAATGAGGCCATACAATAAGTAACTTTAGGTTTAATAATTTGAATAAGGATAGGGGCACTACTGAAGCATTCAGTGACCTCTAATATAATATCACTTTTTCACTAGAAGTAACAATCGGCACGCCTTTAACACCACTAAATCAGTTCCAGGATGAAAATAATTTTCATTTTCAGCACTGAATTAAGTTTTCGAACAGAAAAATAATTGCAAGAAATGACAAGCCATAGAATTATTATCACATCCATGCACAGGCAATACATAATGCTCTATTACACAGAAGGCAAGGATTTCATTTTATGTCTAAATGCATGCCATGCCATGCCATGCCATGTATAAATGTAGAGAGTACAAATAATAAATGCAAACTGAAAATTAAGTGATATCACATGTCGTCAAGAAACATTGACGAATTTTTTAAAAAAATAGTATAGCAAAAATGTCAATCACCAATGCATGGACACAAAAGATAGCATCTTTTTTCTGTAAATATAGCCTTTTATTGAGAAGCATCAGTGCTGCCAAAAAGCCTCACTCTTAAAGGCCTTTCCACAAACAATTAGCATGGTTATGCCCTTAATTTTGTTTTCCTCCAGCTCTGTGGTTTCTTTTGGAGGATACCTCATCCTCTGTCGTATTTCCCCCTTCTTATCAAATAATGTTTCATTTTATATCCCAAAACAAATCTCAGCATAAATCATCTATCTATCAAAATTAACTAGTACGAAGAGAACTGTTCTCTGCAAATCATCACCAAGGAACTCAAACCTTTTGAGGAAACAAATAAGGCAGGCCAAGTCAGTAATTCTTTGAAACTTAAGTTTAAAGATCAAATTCAATTTAACAGAGAATAATAAATTATTATTATTATTATTGTTATTATTGTTGTTGTCGTTGTTTTGGGACAATAGTGTTATAAATTTCAACCCCTTATAAATTCACTAGACTTCTTCCGCAAAGAGAAAATACAACTTCCTGAACTTACGTCTCAGATGCAGAAGAACTCCTGTAACCCTGCCACAAAGAAATTATGCATCAGGAATACACATCAAAGAACTTTCCAGTTGCCATAAAATTACATCAATCGCCATTGTTCAGAATGAGACTGAAAAGGCCATATAGATATGACTGTAGGCTGGGCAAATGAAAAGAAAAAATGAAATAAATTATAAAAAGAAAAATGATTTTTATCACACATATGAGAACATACTTCGAGTTTGGTGATAAATACAGGCTGTCCTTGTCTTTGCCCGGATAAGCTTCCCTGCATGAATTTCAATTATTGAACACATAGATCTGACGCATAAGCATGCTAGACTAATACAAAATATTGCCACCCCTCTAGCAACTGCCAATTATTCTTTGACAATTTAGAATTACAAATATATAATTACGACCAATAGACAGCATAATATGAAATGTCAAAAATAATTGCACTTCAGATACACACTTATATTCCAAGTGAGTTTGGATTAGTTTATTTTGTGTTCAAAACAGCTTGTAATCAAAAGCTTACTGAGAGCTGTTGACAAAATAAGCAATTATTCTACCATATTAAATCAAAACCAAACTGCTATCACTTCAAACTTATGTATTATTATGTGAACTGTTCTCTTATTTTTCTTATAATTTATTTTTCCTTTTCCAATTTTTTCATTCTCTCCTTGGTGCTCCAATTGTAAATTTCATATAGGTCCCATGGTGGTTTTCAAATAAAATTTGTCAAAAAATTCAAAAAAAAAAAGTAATCATTGAAAAGATCTGCATTCATAGAACCACTTTTATATTTCTCTATGTAGTGCAAACCCCAATGTACATGGCTCCCCAAAGGCCAAACCCCTGTGCACAGTTGTACAACATCACAGGATAAGACTTTTGCATAAAGACAGTTATAACAAAATACAAAATAATAAAGGAAAGAAATAAATGAAATTTTGATAAATAGGAATTAATATGTTTTGTTTTGACAGTAAATAAACTCTGACACTAAATAATGAATATTGCACTCAAAAAAATGTGGGGAAAGTGTAAAAACAGCAAGGATCGAGATATACTAGATATTAATGACATATAAGCTTAAGTTCTCAACATCCAATATACTCAGACAATTTATGTGTAAAGGTAAGATTCAAACAAATGATCAGATGCCAAAATGTTGCCGTACAGGACCATAACAGAAAAAACAATGCACTGAAAGACAGAAATTGCAATCTGTCAAATGAGTCCAACTTTTTCCAAATTGAATGACCATCAAATAAAACCTAAAATAGAGGAAAGAGTAAGTAGCAGTAGTCATACTCTTCCCACCTTGTAACATCAACATTCAAATCTACGCTTTATGTAGGTTAAGAAGGAAATTGACATACCTCCCAGACCTTCACATATTTAGATTGTGGAGCTTGCAAACCACCTGTTGTCTGTTGTGGCAAAGGCATATTAGATGCTGCATTGTTCACAAGTGGTTGCATGCCTGATTGTACTTGTTGAGACATTCCCGGAGTAGGAATCATTGTGCCAGTTCCAGAAGAGACGACTGATGGACCAAGGCCACTCATTACATTTTGGTTCATGTTAACCCCATTTTGCACAATTTGGGCTCCTGAAAGGTTTCCTTGGCTCATAACGGGTACCTGTTGTCCCATACTAACAGCCCCTTGAAGATTACCCAATGGTTGTGAAATCCCTATGTTTGAACTCGCAGACAAATTAGAAGTGGATGAAGTTAATGAACCAAGACCTGAGTTTTGTCCAACCTGCGCAGGAACAGTAAGAGGTCCAGAACTAGTTATTGATGTTATTCCTGACTGTCCAGATGAAAATACACTTTGAGCTGCAGGTACAGAAGATGTCATCCCACTAGAAATCATGTTTGACATGTGCATGGCAACAGGAGTCTGACCCATCGACTGAAGTCCCATAGAGGTTCCACCACTTAAAGCAGCAGAGTTCATCACCTGCCTTGAATGAGAGAGAGTGTTCAAAATGTTCACATTTGCTTGAGCGGGATTCACTGGACGTGAGGGCTGCAACATGGACACTATAGGCTTTGTATCCTGTGCATTTTCATTACTTGTCATAATATCTTGAGAAGCAGAAGAAGGAGAAGACGTCTGCAAACTTGAAACTCCTTGACCATTACCAGTAGCACGCGGAACTGACGAATTATGGGGAAAAGTAGGCCCAGATACCATGGAAGTAATGGGAACTGGCTCCTGAAGAATTATCATATAAATTCAGGATCATTTGAAAATTTGAATCATAAAAACTAAAACCAATCCCCATACTTTAGATGTAAGTTAATACTGTAGTCTTATAGCTTAAGTTTACCACTTTTACAGTAGCAGGAGCCACATTCCCAGCAGGAATTGGTTGCCGATTTGCAATAGATCCATTGACTAAAAATCCAAAGAAAAATATGTTAACAATATTAATTCTTTAACCAGAATGTAAAAAGAATAAATAAGCCACTTACACTAAACCAACTACCTGATCATGAATTTTCTGACTAACCTTTCCAGTAAAACAGACAAGACAACACTATCCATATTGACAGAAGAATGAATCCTATTCTTTTTCTTTTTAGATGTATAACAATGTAAGGAGTCTTTCCAGATCAATTACTTCAACAAAACTCACTGACGTAACATATATGCTACCGTGAAATGAGTTACAAGAATAGGAGAAATGCATGACAGTACATAAATTCTCTACAACATAAGATTAACCCGCATATTTCTCACCTTTGTGGATGAAGAAAAGATTACAATGTTAAAGTCAAAGAAATATCCCCAGCTCCTCTAGGTTTTGCAGCTAGATCTTTAATTTCAGTAACTAGAATACATACCTAACCAACCCTCCAACTATGGTAAAAGAAAGTAACATCTCTAATATTAACTATCAGAATAACAAGAAGTTACAATTTACATGTTTCAAAAATGATAAATGAAACAAATCAACAGGAAGAAAAGAAAGAGACAACCGTAGACACGAGGTTAGGATATCCTGAAAGGACTAAGACATAAGATAACACTGGATTAAAACCATCAAACTAGCAAGGTTCTCCATAAATTTAATGTATTAAAGAAGGTCCAATCATGTAGATTCTTATACATCAACATCAACATCAAACATCACCTTTATCCCAAATTAATTGGGGTCGGTGGTAGATGAACCCACATAAAAGATACAAAACGGTTGAAAAAGATAAAAAAAAAAAAAAATAATAATAATAATAATAATAATAATAATAAAATAAAATAAAATAAAATATATGTATATATAAATAAATAAAAGTAAAAAAGAAAGGGACAAGAAGAAGTGGGGGAAATGAAGAGGAAAATGACTAAAAAGGAACCATCTGGAACATAGGAATAACAACGGGTCTAACCCTCCACCATACTTATGGCTTTTCTCCATTCCGTTCTAAGACATACCGTCCACCAATCTATATCTCACTCCATTAAATCTTGTTTTACTACCTTCCCCCAAGTAAGTTTCGGCCGACCTCGGCCTCTTTTTGTGTTGAGCTCTTGGTAACAAACCTCTGTTCTTACAGGAGCATCCAGGGCCTTCACATCACGTGCCCAAACCACCTCAATCTATGTTCTCTCATCTTCTCGGCTACCGGTACTACTCCGACCTTTCGTCGAATATCTTCATTTCTTATCTTATCCATCCTTGTGTAACCACACATTCACTTTAACATCCTCATCTCTGCTACTCCCATCTTATGCTCATGTTGCCTATGTGTTGGCCAGCATTCCGCTCCATATAGCATTGCCGGTCTTACTGCCGTTTTATAGAATTTTCCTTTTAACTTAAGGGGAATTTTGCGGTCACACAAAAACCCAGATGCATTGCGCCATTTCATCCACCCTGCTCTGATTCTGCGATTTACATCCTCATCAATCTCTCCACCTTTTTGTAAAATGGAGCCCAAGTATTTAAAAGCATCTTTTTTGGGTAACTCTTGACCACTTAAATGCACGGGCTCTTAGTCCCCATCTCGTACCAGAGAAAACTCACACTTTAGATACTCAGTCTTGCTTCGGCTTAATGTGAATCCTTTGGATTCCAATGTGCTTCTCCACAATTCAAGTTTTCGATTTACACCCTCCTTGCTCTCATCAATAAGCACAATATCGTCTGCAAAAAGCACACACAATGGCACTTCCTCTTGAATATCTTTTGTTAGTTCATCCATAACTAAGGGAAAGAGATAATGTAACAGCCCCAAACCCTATAGCATGATATTGTCCGCTTTGCCCCGCGCACAAGCACCGTCGAGCTCACGGTTTTGTTTCTTGGGACACCCCACAAAAGGCCTTACACTAGAAGAGGTATCCACACCCTTATAAGGCATGTTTCGTTCCCCTCTCCAACCGATGTGGGACATTACATCCTCCCCCACTGGGAATACAGCGTCCCCGCTGTACACACCGGTCCAGGGCCAGACTCTGATACCAAAGGTAACAGCCCCAAACCCTGTAGCATGATATTGTCCGCTTTGCCCCGCGCACAAGCACCGTCGAGCTCACGGTTTTGTTTCTTGGGACACCCCACAAAAGGCCTCACACTAGAAGAGGTATCCACACCCTTATAAGGCATGCTTCGTTCCCCTCTCCAACCGATGTGGGACATTACAGATAAGGACTTAGAGACGACCCTTGGTGTACACCAACCATGATAGGAAAATAACTTGATGTTCGTTACAAGCATTTACACATATAGTAGCCCCATCATACATATCCTTGATTGCCTTTACATACTTTGATGGAACCTTTTTCTTCTCCAGAACCCACCATAAAACTTTCCTTGGAACCCTATTGTATGCTTTCTCAAGGTCTATGAACACCATATGCAAGTCCTTCTTCTTTTCTCGATATCTTTCCATAAGTTGTCGCATCAAGAAAATGGCTTCCATGATACATCTTCCTGGCATAAATCCAAATTGATTTACAGAAACCTTGGTATCTCTTCTCAAGCGATGTTCAATAACCCTCTCCCACAACTTCATAGTATGGCTCATTAGCTTAATGCCTCTGTAAAGAACCTTGGGATACACCACCCTAAAAGCTAGCTCAGAGGGTGGGAGTGCCCAAGACCTTATAAACTCCACATTAGTTGCACATACAACCAATGTGGGACTATATATCTCAACACGCCCCCTCACACGAGAGCCCATTGGTCTTGAAGAGTGGACAATGCAACAAGCCCAGCCTACCTGTGCTAAGAAGCGCCACATAAGAAAGTGGGGGGCGACGAGGCTCTGATACCAAGTTGAATCTGAATATTATTGTACATTCAAGTGTGTATAACTGTACAAGAAGGCTCTCTATTTATAGAGACTAAAAGACCTAATGGGCTAAGCCCACAATCTAGACTAACTAAAGCGGCTAAACCAGGCCCGAGGAGATTGCTTCAGGCCATATAAAGATTTCTGAAGTTTACATACCATTCCAGAACTCTCCCCCTGAGCAACAAAACCTGGTGGTTGCTCCATATAAACTTCCTCCTGCAAGTCACCATGTAGAAAAGCATTGTTAATATCAAGTTGGAGAAGGGGCTAGTGATGAATGGCGGCAAGGGCAAGAAACAGGCGAACAGAAGCCATCTTAGCAACAGGAGAAAGAGTGGCCCCCCGCACACGTGCCAGCTACTGACTCTACTGCCCTCTTGTCTGATTCTGCTGCTTTAATCTCTCGTGGTAATTGGAACAATGGTGGACGCGGTCGTGGTCGTGGCCGCGGACAAGGCGGTCGCGGGCCCATGACATCATATGGCCCAGGCGGGCGCGGACAGACGACGTCATATGGACAGGGTGGTCGAGGACAAAGGCCTCGGTGTAATTATTGCCAAAATCTGGGCCACATTGAAGAACGTTGCTACAGAAGTACCCTCACTTAAAGCCACCACATATGAACTTTGCTCAAACAGATGTTGTGCCGCCCTCTACCGGATCAGTGACTATTTCCGCTGCAGACTATGAGGCCCTTCTCCAGAAGAGTTCTTCTCAGCCACCTGCTCCAGATACTGGTAATCATGTTGCTTGTTTTTCTCAATCGTCTCTTGGACCCTAGATAATAGACTCAGGTGCTACTGATCATCTTTGTAGTAATAAGGATCTCTTTACTTCCCTTACCTTTTCTAATAATCTTCCCTCTGTTACTCTTGTTGATGGCACCAAGGCTCCTGCTCGTGGAATTGGGCAAGCCAAACCAACTCCCTTCTTGACTTTAACCTCTGTTTATTACATACCTGGCATTCCTTTTAATTTAATTTCTGTTAATCAATTGACCCATTCTTTTTCTTGCTCTATCACCTTTTCTAAACAGTCTTTTTCTATGCAGGATCCGGGTACGAGGAAGACGATTGGAGCGGGGAGTGAGTCACGAGGTCTCTACTATATGCATGCACCCTCTGCTCCAGTTGCATGCTCTCTCACAGAGTCTCCTGAGCTTCTCCATAGCCGTCTGGGTCATCCAAGTCTCTCGAAGCTTCAGCATATGGTTCCTTTTTTGTCAGGTCTTAAGTCTTTGAATTGTCAGACTTGTCAGCAGGGAAAGCATACTCGCTCTTCCTTTGCTAGTAGAGTCAATAAGAGAGCTGCGGCTCCCTTTTCTATTGTTCATTCTGATATTTGGGGTCCGAGTCGGACTATGTCAGTTTTGGGTTTTCAGTATTTTGTAACCTTTATTGATGATTTCTCCCGTTGCACTTGGGTTTATTTAATGAAAAATCGTTCTGAGTTATTTTCAATTTATCAAAAGTTTTGTGCAGAAATAAAAACTCAATTTGGTGCTTCTATTCAAATCTTGCGCAGTGATAATGCAAAAGAGTATGTGTCTCTTGAATTTTCTAAATTTCTGGATACACATGGGACGATACACCAGACTACCTGTCCCCACACTCCACAACAAAATGGAGTCGCTGAACGTAAAAATAGACATCTAGTTGAAACTGCACGTACCCTTCTCATTCATATGAACGTCCCACTCCGTTTTTGGGCAGATGCTATTATCACCTCATGTTTCCTTATCAACCGCATGCCCTCTTCTGTGCTAAATAATGATGTTTCCCACAGTATTTTGTTTTCCGGAGCACCTTCTTATCCTCTGCCTTTACGTATTTTTGGTTGTACTTGTTCATGATCTTACTCCAGGTAAAGACAAGTTGACATCCAAGGCCTTCAAATGTATTTTCCTTGGGTATACACGTTTTCAAAAAGGGTATCGTTGTTATTCTCCTGATCTCAAGCGTTATATCGTTTCTGCTGATGTCACTTTCCTTGATCAGCAGCCTTTTCACTCTACTCTGTCTCCAGTGTCACAAGTTGATCAGGTCCTTCCTGTTCCTTTTCTTGACTTGTCTTTACCAGCTGCAGGTGACCCTATTCCAGAGGAGCAACCCATTACCTCCATACCTGCAGATCGTCCTCTCCTCACATACCAGCGTCGTCAGCCTGCACCTCCTTCGACTTTGCCTCTTGATGACTCATCGCCCTTTCCCGTCGGCTCTTCTCCTCCGGATCCTCCATCAGAGACTCCTCCCATTGCCCTTCGGAAAGGTATTCGATCCACTCGAAATCCTCATCCCCTTTATTCTTTCTTGAGTTATGACAGACTTTCTTCACAACATTTTACTTTTGTTTCTAGTCTCTCTTCTGTTTCCATCCCTAAAACCACAGGTGAAGCACTATCTCATCCAGGGTGGCGCCAGGCGATGCTTGATGAAATGCAGACACTTCACTCCAATGGCACTTGGGGTCTTGTTCGTGCTCCTCCCGGGAAATCTGTTGTTGGTTGTCGATGGGTGTTCACAGTTAAAGTTGGTCCTGATGGCACTGTTGATCGCCTTAAAGCTCGCTTAGTGGCCAAAGGATACACACAGATCTTTGGTCTTGATTATGGGGATACCTTTTATCCTGTTGCTAAGATGGCTTCTGTTCGCCTGTTTCTTGCCCTTGCCGCCATTCATCACTGGCCCCTTCTCCAACTTGATATTAAGAATGCTTTTCTACATGGTGACTTGCAGGAGGAAGTTTATATGGAGCAACCACCAGGTTTTGTTGCTCAGGGGGAGAGTTCTGGAATGGTATGTAAACTTCGGAAATCTTTATATGGCCTGAAGCAATCTCCTCGGGCCTGGTTTAGCCGCTTTAGTTCAGTTGTTGAATCCTTTGGCTTAATCAGAAGCAAAGCCGATCATTCTGTCTTCTACCGGCATAGCTCTTCTGGCCAGTGCATTTATCTCCTGGTCTATGTTGATGACATTATAATTACAGGCAGCGATCAGACTGGGATTGATCAGTTGAAAGAGCATTTATTCAATCAATTTCAGACCAAAGATCTTGGCAGACTTCGATATTTCTTGGGGATCGAAGTTGCACAGTCTAGGCGGGGCATTTCCATCTGTCAGAGGAAGTATGCACTGGATATCCTAGATGAGACTGGCATGTTAGGCTGTAAACCCATTGATACACCTATGGACCCCAATGTTAAGCTATTACCAGGACAGGGGGAGCCACTGCCAGATCCTAGTCGCTACCGCCGACTAGTTGGAAAATTGAATTATCTTACTGTGACAAAGCCAGATATCTCCTTCGCAGTGAGTGTTGCAAGTCAATTTCTTGATTCTCCATGTGACTCCCATTGGGATGCAGTTATTAGAATTCTCCGATATATTAAAAAGGCGCCAGGAAGAGGTTTATTATACACAAATAAAGGGAGTTCAGAGATCTCTAGTTATTCAGATGCTGACTGGGCAGGTTCTCCTTCAGATAGACGATCCACCTCAGGGTATTGTGTTCTCTTCGGAGGAAATTTGATCTCTTGGAAGAGTAAGAAGCAAACTGTGGTCGCCAGATCCAGTGCGGAGGCAGAATATCGGGCAATGGCAAATGCAACCTGTGAGCTCATCTGGCTGAGACAATTGCTTAAGGAACTCCATCTCTGTGAACAACGACCTATGAAGCTCATTTGTGACAATCAAGCCGCTTTGCATATATCCTCTAACCAAGTCTTTCATGAGAGGACCAAGCATATAGAAATTGACTGTCATTTTGTTAGAGAAAAGATCCAGTCAGGGGAGATCGAGACAGCATTTGTCAATTCCAATGATCAACTTGCGGATGTATTCACTAAAGCTCTTAGAGGTCCCCGAATAGATCATATTTGTAACAAGCTGGGAGCTTTTGATATATACGCACCAGCTTGAGGGGGAGTGTTAGAAATAATATTAGTCTATTATTATTAGATTAGTCTAGATTGTGGGCTTAGCCCATTAGGTCTTTTAGTCTCTATAAATAGAGAGCCTTCTTGTACAGTTATACACACTTGAATATACAATAATATTCATATTCAACTGGATACACCACCCCAAAAGCTAGCTCAAAGGGTGGGAGTGCCCAAGGCCTTATAAACTCCACATTAGTTGCACATACAACCAATATGGGACTATATATCTCAACACGCCCCCTCACACAAGAGCCCGTTGGGCTTGAAGGGTGGACAATGCACAGGCCCACCTACCTGTGCGAACAAAGAAATTCCACTTGAAAGAAAGTGGGGGGCAGTGAGGATCGAACCCGGGACACGAGGCTCTGATACCATGTAAAGAACCTTGGGATACACCACCCCAAAAGCTAGCTCAAAGGGTGGGAGTGCCCAAGGCCTTATAAACTCCACATTAGTTGCACATACAACCAATGTGGGACTATGTATCTCAACAGCCTCTATAATTTGAACAAGTTTGTATATCTCCCCTGTTTTTGTAGATAGGCACAATCATACTTTTCCTCCCAGCATCAGGCATCTTATTTTCCTGGAGAATCTTATTGAAAAGATTGGTCAACCATTTTATTGCCACATCCCCTAGGCTTCTCCACACTTCAATAGGGACACCATCAGGCCCCAAGGCTTTATTAGTCTTCATCCTCTTTAAAGCCTCCTTAACTTCATGTGTATTAATTCTGCATACAAATCTTCTATTCATATCATCATACGCGTCCTCCAAGTCCACCTCGCTTGTATCTCCATCCCCATTAAACAGTTTGTTGAAGTAGTTCAACCATCTTTCATTTACATCTTCATCTCTCACCAGAAGTTTTTGATTTTCATCCTTGATGCATCTAACTTGGGTGAGGTCTTTACTTTTCTTATCCCTTATCTTTGCAAATTTATAAATACCTCTTTCACCATCATTGCTCCCAAGATTTTTATACAACTCGTCGAAAACATTGTCTCTAGCTTCTCGCACTGCTTTCTTTGCATTTTTTCTCGCCAATCTAAACTTTTGCAAGTTCTCTTCACTGGGACTTTTATGCAAAGATCTAAAGCACTCCTTCTTATGTTTAATTGCCTCTTGCACCTCTCCATTCCACCACCATGTTTCCTTTGTATGAAATCCATTTCCTTTGCTTTCTCCCAACACCCTCCTTCCCACATTTTGAATACACTTAGCCATCTCATTCCATATTGCATTTACTCCTCCATCAAACTCCCAAGGTCCTTCGTGCAACATTCTTTCATTGAACTCTCTCTTTTCCCTCCTTAAGCTTCCACCACCTTATCCTTGGGTTCTGAGCCCTCTTCTTCATTGTAAGTACTTTGTTGAACCGAACATCCAAGACTACCAGCTTATGTTGCGTAGCGACACACTCTCCAAGGTAGACCTTACAGTCGACACAAGAAGTTCTATATTCTCTTATAGCCAGAAAGAAATCAATCTGACTACGATTTTGGCCACTATGATAAGTGATTAGGTGTGACTCCCTTTTTCGAAAAAAGATGTTCACTAACATCAAATCGTAGGCTAGTACAACATTCAAGATATCTTCTCCAGTCTCGTTTCTCGTCCCATAGCCAAAACCTCCATGGATTCTATCAAAACTTCCATGGATTCTATCAAAACCTCCATTGCTTTTACCAACATGACCATTTAGATCTCCTCCTAAGAAAATCTTCTCCTCTCGAGGTATTCCCCTCAGAACCTCCTCCAAGTCTTCCCAAAATTGGTTTTTATCAGTTGGTTGCAATCCAACTTGGGGTGCATACACACTGAGGATATTCAAGTTTAAATCACCCCCAACAAGCTTAACCAGAATAATCTTGTCGCCTTTCCTTTTGACGTCCACAACTTTATCTCTGAAACTTTTATCGATCATAATTCCAACACCATTTCGACTCTTGTTAGTACCTGTGTACCATAACTTGAAACCAATTCCATCCACTTCCTTGGCCTTTTCTCCAGCCCATTTAGTTTCTTGCAAACAAACAATATTCACTTTCCTTCTAGCAAAAACATCTGCCAACACCCTCAATTTACCCGTTAAGGTTCCTATGTAGATTCTTATAGTTTCATTAAATTTTAAAATAAGTCCTTATAGTTTAAAAGTTTATACAATAAAATCCCTAAACTTCTAAGTATTTTTAAATGAGTCCCTACTCACTAACAGTCATTAAGACTTCATTAACTTTTGATAAACTATAGGGATTTATTTGAAAACTTAGATCAAATATGAGGATCTATGTGACAGATAGCACAATTAAATAAGTCCCTATACTTCATATAAGTTTGCAAATAGGTCCATATATTTTAGCAAAAGCTACCGGCCTTTAACAAGGAGGGAATTATTTAAATTTATTTAGAAGTATACGGACTTTGTAAACTTTTAAACTATAATATTTATTTGAAAATTCAGCAAAACAATGATGACCTACATAATAATATAACCAAGATAACAAATCAACAGGAACAAAAGAAGAAAGAGACAACCATATACAGGAGGATAGGGTACACAAAATAGACTTCAGACAATACCATTATACAGGAAAAAAATCCATCAAACTAGCAAAGCTGTCCAAGTTAAATGTACATTCATTAAAGAAACTCTCCTAGTACCAAGAACATGTACACAACACTATCTAGCAGTAAGGGAAATAACTATTCCTGAAGTCCTAGACATTGCAATTCAAACTTGTCACGACAAGCGGGAAACCCCACTGCATAAACGTGTCACCTTCAAAACAATGCTTATCACTATGGAAACCATATACATAACTTAATAAATGTTGTCCTTAGTCCTCAGGAATTAATTTTCTGAAGAAAACTTCAGATATATGCACTAGGAAGTTGCTCTGTAAAATTATGGACATGTGCAAACTATTTTATTGCAGTACATGAAGACCTGATGGCATAGTAGTTGGGGGTGCCCCTGTAACTGGTGCGACAGAAACCGCATCTACTTTAACAGGACTTTGATTTGAAGGCAAGCTTGTGATCCCAGAACGACTCAAAGCACTACGGGCTTCCCTGAAACTTTCCGATATTAAAACAAGGAAATGAGTGGTTTTAACATCAACTGGTGGATCAGCTGCTCTACTTCGTTTTCCCTACAATGCAAAAAGGATATGATCAATATCACGAAAAATACTCAATAGCAGAAAAAAAAATAGTTTCTCTTAAATTATCTATAATATATCTCAATATAGTATTTTTTTAATATATTAGAATATCTTATGTGACCTGTAGAATATATTGTGGAATCAATTCATCATCTAACTGAGGGGGCAATCTTAGGGCTTATTTCCTATTCACTTATGTGAACTGATTTATTTCCTAATTTAATTCAGTGCTAAGTGCCACTTCAACCCAAAACCTTAAGGCATTAGGTGAGACTTAATTAATTATTTTGTATCTTTTGTATCTCTCTAACACACACTCTCACGCAGGAGCCCTTTGGGCTTGAAACGTGGATATGACACAAGCCCATTTGTTGGTTTATCTTGTGCTTTTCTTAATTCCACCTGAAAATGGGGTGGTGAGGATCGAAATCATGACCTTCTGGTCACTCCATTTCTGGTCCCATGATAAGCGTCACTTCAACCCAAAACCTTAAGGCATTAGATAAGACTTAATTAATTCTTTGTATCTCTCTAACATTCGGGTTAGTAGTAATTTTGTATTTGTTAGATATATAATATAAAACCATTCATATATCTTTATCTAAAAGCTTAAGCTTTTGGAATAGTTAGGTTATGACACAAAATCAAAGTCTCTATGACCAAGTGATTTAAAATTCAATCCTTGCTACCCCATTCTTCAAATAAAAGTTGAATTTCAGAACAAGGTAGGTGGGCCATGTATTATCCACATTTAAAGCCAAAAAGGCTCTTGCATGAATGGGCTTCTTCTCTCTTATTAATTTTTTTTCCATCAATCTTTTCATGCTTTTTATTTATGTTCATTGACTGCCGACCCAAACTAGTTTGGGAAAAGGTATGTTGATGTTAATCAAACAAACTAATTGCTAAATTCAGACAGCATGCTCATTACAGGCTTCGTATGTGATCCTATAAAAATAAACAAGTAAAGACAGATTAACATTTTAATAGAAGTGTAATATGTCATCCTTACCGCATTGTATATATCTTTAATTTTGGGAAGTTGTTTTGGACAGATGACAGAGAGAGAAATAGAAAACTGCATGCAGAAGATGAAATTCCATTAATCATATACCAAAAAAGATTTAGAAACTAAGTTCACAGCAAACAAAAACAAATTGTGCCATTAAAAAATAAATAAAACAAAGAGTACCTGAGAAAATGCTTTAGCAACAGCTTCAGCATCATATAAACGATTCCCTGGGTCTGAGTCAATTGTTTCACTCTGCTCTAGGTTCTGCAGTCGTGGAATATAAACTGGTGTCTGTAAAGGATATGGATTACTTGCTGCAACAAGGATACAGTGCTTGCTCATATCCACATTCTGTTGATTCAGGCCTCCACTTTGAGAATTTGGGAACATCTAAGCATTTCAACATTGGGGTGTGAGGATCAAAATCCACCATAGGGCCAAAGAGATACCCATAAAATTTTGAACTATGAAGGATGAATAACCCTGAAAATGCTAGACTTAATGCTTAAAAAAATGCATTCAAGATATCAAAAGATGTCATCCAAAGCAAATAGACTATCCATAATTGGAAAAGTGTTCATGCATCGCAAAGCTTGTGCGCAAGAAATCAAGAAACACAGAGAATAAAAAGAGTAGAATCAGCAGAACCGATCTGAACTCGCACATGCAGGCTAGGTCGCCTCCGCCAAAACTGCCGGATCGAGCTTCAGTACAACAGCCAATGGGAGAATAGGAGATAAGGTGCAAGCAAAGATGGATGCTACAGACAGGAGTATCATGACTGAGAAAGAGAAAGAAGAAAGGGCGTCATGGAATTACGATACTTGGGTTGCTTTCTTGACCTAATGGGTCAAGCCAAAAGATGGAGTATTATCACACAAATAGGTAAGCCAATGGGTCAGCTTCAGGGGGCTCACCCAGCCTATTCCAATGCCAAATCTTGTTGGGCCCATTCCGAAGTGTTTCCTGCCCATCCATTACTTAGACGAGCACATAAGGAGAGAGAGTAGGGCTTTGAATCAAGCAGCACCGAAGTCCAACACCAGCAGCACATACCCACCGAGAAACAACAGAGCTCAACTGCTTCCATACCGAGAGTACAACTGGAAGACCAGAAGAAGACCGATGCCCCACTGTTCAGAAAAAGGAAACAAAAAACCGTGTGCATTTCCATTTTGGCAGAAGAGGAAAAAGAGGATGAGGACAGGGAAACTGTGCAGAATAAGGGGAAAAGTGGTAGGGGGAGATAAACAGCCGGAATTCTCATGCTGGGGAAGTTCTCAAATTGCACCTTGAGGACAATGTAACATTTCAAGGGGGTTGCATTGATAGGACCCAGGACAAAGTAGTTAAAGAATTAGTTAGGTGGTTAGAGTTGTAAGAGCAGGGACTTATAAATAGGTAGAAGAAAGGCTCATTGAAATTTGTTAGTTAGGAAAAACGGAGAAGTGGCTCGGTTGTAAGTAGGAAACCCTTGGAGGAGAATTTCCTCTTTTGTTCTTTACTTCTAATTCAATTCTTCTTTCATTTCTTTTCTCTGTTTCACTATTCTCTATCTCTGAAAACTCAGAACCCATTTCTAGGCTCATTACAGATTTCTACTATAAATAGGAAATAAGACAGCTAATTTGATCTCCTAATTATGGGATTTAATCCCATCTAAACAAGGAAATATTCTGTGCAGTGGGATTCTGACATACACGTCCAGTAAATAAAACACATAAAATTTCCAAGTACCACAACCATCGCTGTGATCCAAACCTTGTCCTATTCCTATATTCCCCAAATGTTAACCCATATTTCATCTGTTAAATAAGAATATTTCAATCAAAATAAATAAATCCAAGACACGGTAAGAAAGCAAAACATTCACACACATACACACAGATATATATATATATATATATATATATATATAGAGAGAGAGAGAGAGAGATAATAAAGGTTTAAAAGGAAAAACAAAGGAAGAATCAGGATCAAACATATATCAAATGAAAATTGAAAGAATACAAGCAAACGAGAAACTAAATGAATACATCATACATACCATCAGAGCTTCAGCAAGCCCTTCAACAATTGCTGCATCATTAAAACCGCCACCAGTAAAGGGTATAGATGATAGCCACAGGAAGAAAACATCTGGGTCTCTTGTCCAGCCAGTCCGTTGCACAAGGCAACCTGCATCCAATGTTGCTCCACAAAGTAAATAAACTTGATAGATTATTCAATTTCATATAAATTTGCCAGTGTAAAAGAAGCTACACAGAATTCAAGCATCATAGAATCCAACATATTAAATTCTCAATAAATGGTGAGTAGTTAGACTTCGTCCATTTTCTAATTAACTTCCAATGAAGGGAAAAACACACACACACACATAAATCGTTGATATTTTATATTTAGAAACTAATTGTCTTTTGACGTATTTCCCTTTTTTTTCCTCAACAAGAGTTTATTTGAAATGTGGCATATTACAGCTGAAACAACATCAGTCCTAAAATCTTGCAAAAGTTTCTGGACGGCTAGATTTTAAATTGTTAAAGAAGTAACACAATCACTGATGTGTCTTCACCTAAAAACTTAAACTTTTGGGATAGTTGGTTCCTGACAAGATAAAGAACATAAATGGTTAGATATAAAATCAATTTAGTTCTTTCACCCAACAACTAAAGCTTTTTGGATAGTAGGTTAATGATATGGTATTAAAGCATCTATGACCATGTGGCCTAGAGTTCAATCCTTGTCGTCTCTATTCTTCTAAATAAAAGTTAAATTTCAAAACAAAGTAGAGTGTGTTGTGCATTGTCCATAATCCAAGCCCAAAAGGCTCTTGCGAAGGGGCATGTTAGATAAAAATCCATTCATTGTTTTTTACTCAACAACTTAACCTTTTAGAAAAAATTCAACCTTCTATTAGAAAAATGAGGGTTTGGTCACAGAAGTTTTAATACCATGTCATGAAACAACTATTCTATTACAAGAGCTTCAGCTGTCAGATAAAGACATATAAATTGTTTTATATTGTATCTATGAACATAAACTGACATTATAAAAAGAAAATTAGCAAAACTGTACCAGAATAACATCCATGAGTATTATAGGTGACTAGGGCAAACTCAACATTGGAAGCACCAGGCTTCTGCAAAAAAAAAAAAAATAATAATAATAAGGAAAAATTAAAGTTAATAGTTGAACCACAAAACCATCATCAGGCAAGATATAAAGAATATCACCACATCTACTGGTATGATTTCAAAAAATTCACATCTGACCTCAGCTATTCAATGAGCTAACAAAAACTTTCTCTTTTAGTAAATAACATTAATAAATCAGAGAGGAAAGTGCCATGAGGCCAAAGACATGCATATTAACAGTATAGAGGTCATCACATTCACAGGGAAGGAAACAAATGTGCTCACTGGTTAGCAGCCCTATCATCTCATTTGGCCGGTCAAGACAAATCCTGCAGAACCCACCCCCTGAACTGCATGAACTATTAGTCAAAGTTATCTTTCTATTTCAATCTAGCAATGTGTTTAGTAATATTTAGTTAATTTTCGTTTTCTTTGGGCGTTTGCCCACCATATGTACAATATATATATATATATATATATATATATATATATATATATATATCATTAAGAGCATAGTTATCAGTATCATAAGATACATGATACGATTCATATGATACGATATGATTCACAAGCACAGCAACAAGTATCGTGGGGTGTATTAGAAAGTGGTTTGTATCGGACGATAAGATACGTATCATATATTATCGATACGAAAATTAAATTAAAATTTTTAATATAAAAAAAGAAATAAAGATTTTATTTATGATTTAAAATAAAAGAAATCTAAAAAATTATTATTAATAAGAAAAAGAAAATAAAGATTTGATTTGTGATTTAAACTCAAAAAATTAATCTGAAAAATCGGCATTATTAAAGGAAATAATTAAGTAAATATTTTAATATCTATTTTTAAATTATTTTTTATTATGTTTCTGTATTGTATGATTCGATACGATTCATGATACAAAAAACCGGCCAAATGATACACGTTACGTATTGCGATCCAACAACCTTGATTAAGAGAGAGAATAAATTTGACAAGGGAAAATAAATGAAAATCGAGTTTAAAGTTTAGAAAATCTATTAAAGGCAAGGCAGAACCAAAAAGTAGGACATATGGAAGTCTAAGAATGTAAGTTATGTGAATAAAGTTTATCTTTAGCAAGGGGAGCAAATTTTTTATCATTGGAGGTAATCCAGTTGCTCCTATGAAGCCCAACGTAAGACATACTGGAATATCCATCCACAAACTTGCTTCCCCACAGGACATTCACCACAGAAGACAAAAGAATAACCATACAGTCCCACATAGCAAATTAGAAAATACCATAATCTAAGACGCAAAGAATATGGGAAGAGACAAAAACAGTTTGATGTTTTGATGTTTTCTATTATCTTCTGTTGCAAGCATACATACAAAAACAGCAGTCTGAAACCACAAGGAAAAACAAATGGATCTTTTTCTAATCAACATAATAAAAACAAAAGTTTAACTCTCCAAATGATTTTCCAAGGAAAACCTGGTCTTCATGAATCATGCATATGCACATGGAAGCAAAAACCATCAAACTTTCCATTCTTATTCAGTCATATTAGATACCTCTAATCATAAAAAGTACAGCAAAACGGACATTATTTATCAACCTCTATTTACCACATGTTCATCCAGAGTTGTAAATTATTACTCCTATTACTCACCTCAATCTCACCCTCGCTAGTCGGGGCTTAATGGGAAATGGTTCCACTCACCTCAAATCTAACGTGATTAACGAAAAACTTTCAGCCCAATTTTAATTTTCTGTTTTTTTGGATAAAAGTTGAAACTCATTAAGACAAAGAGAAAATGTTGCAAAGCAAAGCGAGGATAAGGAATCCTCCTTAACAAAAGAACAAGACAGAAAACAACAAATTAAAAAACTAAAAATGAGAAAATCAATGAAGCAAAAGCTTTAAGTCAACCCAAAATAAATTGATATCTACAACCACAATCATGAGAAAGCCTCAAGCACAAAGTAGGTACACCTTTGACAGCCCCAAACACTCTTCATAAAGAATGCCACACCACAGCAAAATAGTGTAACTTCAACAGTGTCATATTAGAATCTTGAAAGTTTAAAAATCTACTCAATACGACAAAGTAGTGTGCATATCTTCAACCTATGTAAGTAATTTGATATAACGTAAGCCAACAATGACTTCAACCTAGAGTAAATTTAAGATATCTTCCACAATTAGTTTGGGATAAAGGTGTTGTTGATGTTGTTGAAACAAAATGCACAAACAAAAATAAGACATGCACATCTCATATGCATCACCAACTAATAATATTTCAGGGCTACTGATTTTATGGAATTTTTGCATTAAGCAAAAAATAACAATAATAGCTTTATCAAAAAAGATGTTTTGAGAATGTCTGTTGGAGGATAATATATATAATAGTATTTTGTCACATCCAGAGAAACTTTAGGCTTACAGCATAGCTATTTCTGTTGGCAGGCCATTGTGAAAGACAATACTTTTCTCTTAAGTCCATGAAAATAATAAAATCATATTCAACAAATATGATATAAGACAACTAAATCCGGAATATGAAGTGAGTCGAGTGACACATTAAATACTAATGTTTTCTTCATTTTTGGCAGAGATTGTGAAATTGTCATCAAAGCAAAATGTTTACCTGCCCAGTTGAGTCATTTCCACCAAAGCACCTGTACAAATTGAAATACCACAATAGGTTAAAACAGGTGCATCATATCATCTATGATGATATATAATCTTTAAAATAACTTGACAAATTTGATAACAGGAGAAACCTGAAACTTGCATATAAACAAAAAATGAAAGCTTTGAACATTTAGGCATAAAGACCGATGCGTGACTTCTGTTGAAAACCAAAGTCTTAAGCTGGTGAGGAACAAGACTAGCTATGTTAAGGTAAGACTTCTATTGAATCCCAATTCCCAAAATATTATGCTCACAAGTACAGGAGTAATAATTGTGTTTAATTTGGTTCTCAATCAAACAATGTTACCCATTTGCTTTTGCATTGCCCAGCAGCCATTTTCATTCAGAAAAAGGTTATTTGGAATTTTTGGTCAATTTGGCGTCCTCTGAATTGGAGCCGTTTCATTTGGGTTTCAGCATAAGTGAAAAGAGGAAGGTTTTATGCCCACATGCTACCTATGCTGCCCATTGGTGTATTTGACTGGAAAGGAATGTTTTGATATTTAAGGGTTCTAATTCTACCGTCTTTTAGATTTGTTGTGGGATAGGATTGGCTTCAAGACCTTCCTTTGGTATTCTGCCTACGGTCTCTAAGAGAAGGGATTGGAGAGCCTTATTAATCATTGAATTTTTTGGTAGAGAGAAATTTTATTACAGAAATAAGAAGAAAAATACAAATCAGGTGAGGATAAGAAATCCTCCCAAAAAAAAAAAAAAAAAAGATAAAGCAAAGAGATGAAAAACTTAAAAATGTAACAAGGATGACCAATCTCTCTGCATCTTAGCATGAGCAACCTCCTTGGAACAACGCTGAACACCAAATAGGCAAACAGAATCCTATCCGATAACCAGTTCAAGGTCAGAGTCAACCCAAAAATGTGAGCATTCTTCCCCAACTAAATACACCAAATGACTGCATAACAGCATGCTTTTTAGTACTGTAATTTCTTTTTGTGCATTTGTTTAGGAGGGTATCTTTTTCCTCAATCACTTTTTAATATATTCTTCTATCTAATAAATTTTCGATTACTATCGATAAAAAGAAAGTATGTTATCCGCTGCCTATGGTTCGAGTCTTCGAGTGGACTGCTTATGAGTGTGATACATCCTTTTGCTTGGTTATTTCATAATATTTTTATTTATGTGCATCTCTAAATATTATAATCTCTCATTTGTCCCATGTAAGTATAAATTTTTAACATGCTTGACAATGTTTTGCTGGATATTATGACTGGGAAGCAATAGTTTCTATTGCTTTTCTTTTGTTTATTTATTTGAGTACAGTAAACTGGTAATGACTGCCACTGAGGATTGGTTCAACTGGTAGGATCAATTAGCATCAACAAAAATGTATTGGGTTCAATTCCTAATGGTGATCTTTCATTGGTAGGTCATCTATAAGTACTGTAAGCACTCGCTAAGGCTTGTGGCATGCTCTAACCTTGGAATTGAGCAACCTCCCCTACCCCTGAACTTATTAATACTGCACCCTAATCCTGTGCCAGAAGGAGCAACACACAAACCCATTTACCCCACAGAATGACATCAGCAAAAGAGCCCGCCTTCTCAATAGTAACAAACTAAAAAAAGTATCAAAGCTATATAGCCAAATGGGCAAACGGCCAAACATTTAAGACCACAAAACTTAAGTCTAGTAGTAAAAGTAAATGTCTACAAATAACAGTTTTTCTCCAATAAATTCATTACCCAAAAAAACAAAAACAAAAACAACCGTACCCCCAATATCACCACCACCAACAACAACGACATAGTCAGAGCCACTACTAAAATGTTCCACATTTCTACTCATAGTAGTTAATTGCGCCGCAATAGCGCCGCGAGCCGCGCCGTATCGGCGTTGCGGTGCCTCACCGCAAGAAACCACTCCGCGCCGCATCGGAACGCAACAGCAGCCATTGCAATCGCAAATTGCAGCCATATTGTTGTCATAAGGCAAAATGTCAATTTTGTCCTAAATTTAAATGTGTAACAGAAAAATTTTAAGGGTTTTTTAGTCTATCTATGTCTCTCAGTCACTTCTACTATCTCTGCCTTTAAAAAATGTTTTTTTTTTGTCATTATTTCTGTCATATATCTATTCCGCAATTTTCGCAACCACAACCCGCTATAACACTATAGCGTTTTTCGGGGTTGGCCACGACATGCCGCAATCCGCATTTGATAACTTTGTTTCTACTAACCCAATAAGAAGCAAACTTTTCAAATTACTATTTCAAACAAAGGATTAATCTTTCATCCAAGTTCATCACCACCAACAGCTATGGAGTAGGTAAGCATCAAATGTGTCAACGGCTCCCCCCAATTGAAATTAAAATATATATATATATATATATACCAGCGTTGCCACAGGACCAAGCGAACCAACCCCAACCTCTACCAACAGACAATCAACTCTATATCCACTTTGCCACACCCATGACAAACAACGAGCAAAAAAGCCCAAAATCCGTTCAAAGCATCACCATCACGTGATAGTCCAAAAGCCAAAGCCTAAGCCACTTGTTTCACCTCACCAAGCGAGACTCCAGTTCCAACTCCACAATTACAACAAACTTAACCCATAAACCCACCCCAACTACCCATAACCTAACAAAACAAAAGCAACACCACCTTCAATAACCCCAAATCTCAAACCGGGGTTTCGCCAAGAGTAAAACTTGTTTTTTTTTTCCTTTTATTTTCTCTTCGAAACCAATAATAATCAACCAAAACAAACCACAAATTGGGTACAGCACCTAAACCGAAGCCTTAAATCCCAAAAAATTTAAAAAAAAAATCAAAATCCCTAATTTTGATTGAAATGAAGAAAAGGGGGTAATAGATATTAATATATATACAAGAGAGGAGAAAGCAACCTGATGATCTTATCGAGGTAATCCATGAGAAGGGTGTCCCAATGAGGACCCATAGCAGCGGTGCTTTCAACGACAACGATGAGGTGTTTCTCTGCCATGACGCGAAACACAGAAGAGAGTGCAGAATTTCTAGGTTTTGGGGGAATAAAGCGTTATTATATGAAGTAAGCGTTGGTTTTGGTTTTGGTTTTGGTTTTGGTTTTGGTTTTGGTTTTGATGGAAAAAACGAAAAATTGGAAAGTGAAAGGGTGCATTAAAAGGATCGCCATAAGAGTACGAACCTCATTTTCCGTGCCACTCTTTGGTACAATGAACGGTGAAGATGGTCGCTAGCTACTGAGTGGAGTGGCGACCAAAACAAAAACAAAACCAAAACGGTGTTGTGTTGGCGACTTTTCTGATTTGGTTTGGGAATTATAACAATAGTCAACCGGTGGCGTCTGCTTGGGACTGTTGTCAAGAAATTGGTAACATTATTAAGTTTTCTACCAATCAAAGGTAACTGTGGTGTGGTTCCTGTTATTCTCCGCGTACGGGTCTCATATGACGAGAGATAAATATACCTAGTATTTGTTTTCTCTGGCCAATAAGAGGAAAAAGAGGAGGACCTGCAATAAATCTTTAAAAAAAAACACAAAATTAAAAATATATACGTATAAGGAAACAAATATTTGTACTAAGATATAGATAAATATCTTACAACATAATTTAAGGGAGAAAAAGACATAATTTATTGTTTTTTATTTAAAATCTATATTATTCTAAAGTAAAACCGTTTATTGGAAACTTTGATGATGTGTTGAATCTGAGGTTTGTGTTCACACTACTTAAATTTAAATATTTTCCTCTTTTAGAAATATTTTGAATTATTTTAAATTAAAATTATTATTAATTCATTTTCGTGAAAATAGTGCAGCTTTTATTATGGTTCAGATTTTGAATGCAACAAAACCCCACTACCTCCTACCTTGGAAAATGTTGGGCTTATTAATTTTGCTGTGTTCAAGAAAGACATTTATTCCATCAAATGGTGTTTCACCAAGTTAACGCACTGAGTTTTTGTATAAATGGGGAAGTGTTGTTTCTTTTTGGGTTGCCTGCTTTTTTTCTGCGTTGGTGTGTGTAGGGGTTGTTCTATTGATATCATTTTCGGTTTCTTTATTAACAAACGTTGTTCTGATGTCGTATTTTTTATTACATATTTTTGTAGGGTTATCTTTTGGAGCTAAATCAATGTTGAAGAACACGTACGTTTGAATATGAACCACATCTTTTTTTTGGCTTGCTTACGTTTTTTTTTTCTTTGTTCGTTTTTGTATAGGTTGTTCTATTTGTATAATTTACGGTTTCTTTATTAACATATTCAAAGATTTAGTTTCAACATAATCATTTTCATTTCTTATACTAATTCTCATTTCTTCGTTTTATAGGGCGGAAGGTTTCGTGCTACTGTGAATGATTATTTACATATTCAACGTCTTTCATGTTGTTCGAGGGAGCTGCTATAAAGGGTTCAATTTATTTATGCTTGCATTAATTCAATAGGGTTTATGAAATTGTTTGTGTGTTGCATTATTGAGTTTTCGTGTTGTTACATTGAGGTTTCGTGGTGTTATACAATTTTTTATGACATGTTTTTGTAGGGTTATCTTTTAGAGTAACATCTTGAAGAACACATACGTTTTGAGTATGAATCCAATGCGTTTATAGTCAAATCTGCAATGAACGCGAAATTGTGGCTTATCTCTTTGTCTTTCTCAACACCTTCGATGAATTGCAATGACGCTGATGAAGATGGTTTTGTGTCTTCTTTTGTCCCCACTACAAAAAAATATATGAGTTCTTGAGGCTTTGGGTCTTCGTGTTGTACATGGATGCGTTTTGCTGCTGAAAGGGAACATGTAACTGATGGAGAAACTTCACGATTGCATCTTATATATGAATTTAACATTTTGTTAGACAGGTTTCGTGATTGTGTTGTGTTTAGGGTTCTTATTTTCTGTAACCAATAAAAATTGATTATTTCAAGAAATATAAAACAAAATAAATTTTAATGTTGGATATAATTATTTAAAGAAATTTTACAATTTTGACGGTTGATGATGTTAGTATGTGAAAAGTTATTGGAATAAATTGTCTTTTTTTTCGTTTATTTATTTGTTGGTTTTTTTTTTTAGCAATTGTCAATAAAGTTTATTTTGTTGTTTCTTCCTTCTTCTTTTTTCATAGCTTTGGGAATTTAAAAGTCACACTAACGAACGGATTGCTTATAGCAGTGAATGGAATTGCTGCATCGTTATTTTTGTAATTGTCGAAAAACGAAACGCGGTGCATGTGTTCCCAATTGTCTTTTAGTATTCCTAAGACCATCAAGTAATTATACAGGTCTTTTGGCATTAATAGGGATTTAGGAAAATGTGAATCATCAAAACAATTTATTGCTTTGTGCATTGGAATGGACAAGGCTAATAAACAAACCACTTGAAACGTCATGATTGAACATCACAGTGTTCCATAAATATTTAGGACTTAAGAGTTATGGAAAATATGAAGAGTCTTAATCTTTAATGGTAAATTAAGATTCCTATAAATATTAAAATATTGTACCAGCTTAATGTATTATTCTATTGATTATTGCGTTGACTTTTATTATAAAAAAAACTATCAATTAATTATTAGTGTGTTTATCAAAGAAAATAAATCATTAACATATTAATTATTGCAAGTTCAACCAACTAATTTATCTAATACAAGGGGATTTCAAATTTAAAAATAGAGGTCTAAAAAAATCAAATTAAATGGATTTTTTTAAAAATAAAAATAGATTTTTTTTGGATTGAATAGAATTTAAATGCTCACTCTATAAACAATAACATTATTTCATATTTTTAAAATTCAAATAGAGTCTTTTGGATTGAATTGAATCTCAACGGTCACTCTAAACAAATACAATATTTCCTTAAACATTTTCGCTTCTCAAACATTATATCTGCTCTTGAACCAAAACATCCTTAATTTTAAAGGGTGCATTTCGGTTTACCAAAAAAAAAAACGGGTACAATTCGATTTTCATATTCCCATTCCATTTTCTAAAACCTTCATTTTATCTTCGTTTGTTGAGTAATTACCAATAAAAGTTTAATGTTTTGCAGTATTCTATTCTTACAATATATCTTTCATCTTTTATTGTGCATAATTCCTAGAATATAACACATTTTTGTATACCAATGCACGAATTCAAAAGATGAAGAAAAATAAAATAGGTTTTTATATACAAGTGGCTTCAGTTTAGTATTCCTAGGACCATTGGTTATTATACTGTTTTCAATAAAGACGTGGCAATTGTTTATTATAATTGTTATGGAATAGCAATAGTCATATAATAAAAGCTGACATATGCATTTAAAGACATCACGTTTGAGTAATAGCTAATGTGTTGCCATTCTGCTAATTTTATTTAAAGACATATGAATTAGTTTGTTTATGTTTCAAATAACATAATTAAGGATTATTTTTTAATGACCACATTAAATTTCGAAATATTAAACTTGCTTTCTACATTTGAATTTCCAAATTAATAATAAAAACTTGCTTTCTAAAATATTTATTATAAATTTCGAATTTCGTTTAAATTAAATTTTCATTTTGAATTTTAAACTTTGTAGTGGTGGGAAAATATTTGGACAATTATTGGTGGCAGACAACTCATTTATTATCTCATTACTTTCAACATGGATAATTTGTTAACCATATCAATGCTGCATAAAAAATTTATTTTGTTAAAAAATAATTATTAGAAAAACGAAAAATGTTTTGTAAAAAAACGCAAATAATTTAAATTAAATAAATATAAAATAAAATCAAAATTTGTAAATAAATACAATAGAAAATTATGTGAACAATTTTTCGTGGCAAACAAGTAATTTAATATCTCACTGCTTTTTACATTGAAATTTTCAAATTAATAATAAATCATTGCTTTCTGAAATATTTGTTTTAAATTTTGAATTTCATTTGATTTTGAATTTTGAATTTTAAACTTTGTAGTGGTAGGAAAACATTTGGACAATTATTGGTGGCAGACAACTTATTTATTATCTCATTACTTTCTACATCGGTAATTGTTAACCATATCAATGCTCCATAGAAAAACTATTTTGTTAAAAAATAATCATTTAAAAAACAAAATATTTTGTAAAAAAAACGCAAATATTTTAAATTAAATAAATATAAAATGAAATCAAAATTTGTAAATAAACAATAATAACTCATTTAATATCTTACTGCTTTCTACATTGGAATTTTCATATAATAATAACTCATTGCTTTCTGAAATATTTATTTTAAATTTCGAATTTCATTTGAATTTGAATTTTTAATTTTAAAATTTGTAGTGGTGGGAAAATATTTGGACAATTATTGGTGGCAGACAGCTCATTTATTATCTCATTACTTTCTTTAAGGGTAATTGTTAGCCATATCAATGCTGCATAAAAAACAAACTATTTTGTTAAAAAATAATCATTAAAAAAACCAAAATATTTTGTAAAAAAACACAAATATTTTAAATTAAATAAATATAAAACAAAATCGAAATTTGTAAATAAATAAAATAGAAAATTACGTGAACAATTTTTTGTGGCAGACAATTCATTCAATATCTCACTGCTTTCTACATTAGAATTTTCAAATTAATAATAACTCATTATTTTCTGAAATATTTATTTTCAATTTCGAATTTCATTTAAATTTAAATTTAAATTTTGAATTTGAATTTTGAATTTTGAATTTTAAACTTTGTATTGGTGGGAAGACATTTGGACAATAATTTTGGTGGCAAAGAGCTCATTTAATGTCCCACTACTTTTCTTTTGTTGTATATTATGAGTAAAAAAGACTTTTACTTTTCTTTTGTTGTATATTCCACTATTTTTTGCATGGATAATTGTTAGCCCTATCAATGCTACATAAAAAAAAAAAATTTTAAAAAATATTGCAAAATAACAAAATTATTTAAGATGAACATTTTAAATATACATGTATAACCAATTTTAAAAAATGTATAAAAATCATAAATTAAAAGAGAAAAAGTCATATAAAAAATGTATAATTAATACAAAAGAATTTAAATTTTAAATTTAAATAAAATTAAAATGATCTCTATCATTCTGGAAAAAATAGATTATAAAAATTTAATCACTATAAAAATAAATTTTTTAATTTAGTATGTGAGAAAGAAATTAAACTTTCAATTTTTTATTGAAAGAGTATAATTAACACGGAAAAAATATGTCATGAATGAATAACTAAAAGCTATTATTTGGAGAAAGTACACAACCTTTTATGGATATTTTTCACTACTTTTTATATGAAAAATTATTATGTCTATTAATAATACTTACTATTGGGTGAGAAAATATGTACTATTTAAAATTTAAACTTTTCAATTTGAATTTTGAAC